ATACAAGGTGCTGTATCCAGATAGGTTTTCCAATAAACTTGTAGCCCAAGAAAAATGTTCTATTTACCCTATAATTTTTTTTTTTTTAATGAAGCAATCGTTTCAGTAGCTTCAGAGCTACTAGGACAGAAGAAACTTGAGATCTTGCTATGGTGGTTATTCTTCCACAGCTGTTTGAAAACTGTGCCTTGTAAAGCAATATCATCTGCAAACAAGCCAAAAATGCAGGGGTAGCAGTTAACTGTGTAGGTGGGACTCTGTAACCAAAATCTGCTGTTGGGCTATAAAAGTACAGAGGACAACCACTGGTTGGTTGAATTTGGGTTTCTGTTTCATTTATTGGTGTGGAACAGTACTAAGACTCAAGTGAGGTACAAGGACTGTTCATAGTCTATTTTTGTGCGCACTTGTAAAACAAAACATTTTCTGAGATTTATAGGGCACTTTCCCACCTCAGGGAAGATGTAGAAGTCAGGAAAATGCCCTTGTCATGGCAGATAGTTTATGATGTCAAAGTATTACTCACAGTTCTGTGCCTCATATTTGAGGACCTCCAAAGCTCCTTGTAAATTATACTTTATAGAATTGAAAAGAGAATAGTACCTATTTAACATTCAGAGTAAAATCTTGTTCCAGTCTTGAACATAAAGATGTACTTTTTTATGTCTGAGCCTTACTTGAAAAAATTTGCTATGTCATCTCATTGGGGTTCAACTCCTTTCTTCTAATTCTAGCAGATAGGCTGCTGTCTATATGTAAGACTCTTGTTTGCCTCCTTGCCTTTTCCATAAAGCTGGCATATATTCAGGAGAAATCATTTGCATGGGGACCTTGCCTCACCTTTCTAATGCAATATGACACATCTTGTCCTTTTGTTCCTACATTGATTACTCAATATGCTTTCTTCCAGTTATTAAGCACATAAAATGAAATGCAACAATCACTCAAAAAATATCAGTAACATATATCTCACTCATCTATGTCTTCATGGTTACAGAGCAGTAGCTGAAGTCATGTGGGACCTTTGTTAGTGAAGGCAATCAGGGTTGCCTTTTGGGCATAATCTATTACTGACTTCAAGGAGTGTAATAATTTGGCTGGGATTCAAGAAACTGCAGATTGACACACAGCCTCTCCATCTGTTGGCCACTGTCTAGTTTATCTCATTATAACTTAATCAACTATGAATATTTACCAGATTCTTTTGCCTGCTCTCAGGGTCTTTGGTGTTGATTATTCAGACCAGAATATATAATAACATATCAAATGTGAAATGTTAGTGCCTACCCTGGTGGATTGGCCAAGCCTTGCTAGTGGAGGCTGCTTCAAGGATGGCTTATGTGAGAAGCTCCTAGAAGCTTCTCCCATGTCTGGCAGAGCCAAAGATGGATGTGCTATGGATCAAGGCTGGGCCAGATAGAAATGGTGGTTATGTCTCTGTGATAACATATCTAAGAGGATGAAAATTTATCATGCAGTTGACTCCTGGCAGGGACCTGCAGACCCATGGAGAGAGAAGCCCATGCTGGAGCAGGATTCCTGGTAGGACTTGTGACCCCATGGGGAACCCATGCCAGAGCAGCCTGTCCTTGAAGGACTGCACTTTGTGGAAGACCCACATGGCAGCAGTTTGAGGGGATCTGTTGCCTGTGGGATGGACTCACAGACTCTTGGAGAGCTGTCTCCCTTTGCAGGGACCGCGCAGTGCAGCAGGAAAAGGACTCCTCTCCCTGAACAGTGGGAGAAACTGCCAGTGATGAACTGACCATAACCCCCATTCCTTGTCTCCCTACACCACTGGGGGAGGAAGTACAGCTGGGAAGGAGAGAGGGGTGGGGAGAAGGTATTTTTATGGGCTTCTTTTACTTCTCATTATCCTGCTCTGATTTTGATAGTAATAAGCCTCCTGCATGGATGTGTTTTCATAAGCATCAAAAAATGATAAGGTAAAGAATTGTACTTTAAAACAGCAGCATTCTGTGATAGTTATTAATACCTTAATTAGAAAGCAACAGATTACTCCTACAGTATGAACAAATATGAATATTAATAATATTTTAGTCTTGCAAGTTCTCAAGTTTAGTTATTTCTGGTCTTTGCAAACTTTTTCTAGCATTGTCAGTATTGCTGCCATCAGTGGTAGGTGGTGAGAGATCTTGCTGTGTGACTTTGTCTCTCAGGACTTCTGCTTGGTTTAGCTCTCAATCGTTGTTTTCCACCCAAGAGCTCTGGCAGGCTTCTGGTGAGTGTGGGAGACATCTTGTCAATAAGAACGGGTCATTGCTTCTGATCTTCTATATCCTTTTGCTTTTCCCCTCATTCTTGGGCAATGAGCTTACTCTGTCTTAGCTGTTTAAAATGTCCTGAAAGCCTCCTTTATATTCAGGAACAGCAAGGTTAATTAGGTGACCAAGCCAGCTCTCAAACTGCTGGTAGAAAATGAATATCTGTCCACCCATCAAGATGGCAAAATGGAGTGACTTCACCACGCAGGTGTTGCAGAGTCTGGCAAGTATTGTATGGCTTTTGCTCTCTCTGACTGGTAGGATGGCTGGAGAGGGGGATGTCCAATTTCACCTTGGTGCTCTTCCTTCGAGCCCCTGTCTCAACAGGGCTGGAGTTTTTGTTTCATGATGTCTGACCATGAAGCAGAATGAATTGTGTAATGTTGCTGCTTCTTTTTGAGGTTCTGCTGTTCTTACTGGGTGAGGAGTAGGACATGAATGGTTTTTGTTTCAGAATAGATTGGGAAAACAGGAGAGGGAAAACACTGTCCTGTTTAAAAAAAAAGGATGTTATCTATTTCCGCAGCAAATGCCATCTTTTCTGACTGATTGTTCTAGATTGTTCTTAACAACTTCAAGTGAGAGAGATGTTTTGGTGTCCTGTGCAGAGATAGAGATCTACATTAGATGTTTTAGAGCTAGTGTGCTATTTGTCTTCTGATGGTGATGGTGGTGGTGTGAGTTTGAGTTTGGGCGTTTTGGGGGAGTAACATGCTAAGTCAGAATGTGCTTACGTTGTGTCCGCTGCCTCGATGAAAAATTCGTGTTTGAGCCCAGATCTGGTTGCATTGAAAGAATTTAATTTCCCTGTGTTGCTGGTATTTCACATTCAAGAAATCATTAGATAAGTCATGACAAGTTTGTGTTCAGTTCTTTATACAATTAAGCTATTTCAAATACATTTGGTTTTTTGCTGCTTCAGTGATTATTTTTCTCTCCCTGTCTTAATACCTCCTCAAACTTACCAATAGCTTCAGATAATATTAGTTAAAATGTGTCTGTAAAGTGACAGTAAAGAGCTATGCAAAATAGAAGAATTAATGATCAGTGCTAGATCATTAAGCGAAGGCTGGATAAAGGGAAATCCATCATAGCTTGAGATCCCTGACAGCAGAATTGATGTCTGACCAGCAGTTCTCTGTTCTATATTTTTGTGGTATGTTAATTTTGAAAATCTTCTATTTGTCCACATTTATTGAATTCTTTTATTTTCTGGAGACTGCTTCTCCAGCTTGCCATCACTGGTTAGTCTAATTGAAGAAATACAAGCCTTTATACCTTTCAGCTGTTAGTTCATGGTCTCTGCAAACTGCACCATCCCTGTACTAATTTGCAGAAACCTTATGTTTTCCTAGAAACCCTGAGGGTCTGGAGTAACACTTTTTCTTTTTTTTCCCCTCCCTTATTTTTAATGACAGCTTGTCTTATGAAGTACAGATTGACCTGAAAAAAGGGATCATTGATTTGATGCCATTGGCACTGTTCAGAATTTTGCAAATATGTGAAGAGGTAACATAAAGTTTTCTCAAGGTGTTCCCCAAGGACAGTAGTCATAGAGAGCCACAGAAAAATTCTTTGTTAAGGAGTTGGCAAATTAAATACAGGACAGTAAGAGACCTCTCTCTCCTTTTATAGTTGGAACAGAAATGCTTGAATCCTACTGTGCCAAAGTCTTACTCTTTCATAGAACATCACATCAAAGTACATTATACATTTTATTCTTACCAGATTCCTGAAGTTATATGGATAATATTAGCAGCAAATTCAAAAAGCACTAAGGAGAAACTGGTCTATTTTCCTTTTTAGAAATAGAAAAAAAATTGAGAAAAAATTGTTTTGAGCAGTATTAAAAATCAAAAATGCATTTTGAGTAACTTACTGCTTACTGTAATGCTTTGATTTTTGACAAAATAATTATAGATAAGATAGAGATGAAAGTACTTTTAATGTTTTGGGGGTTTTTTTTCCATTAAAATACAGTATTATGTGGAAAATGGAACTTTAAATAGGGAACTGTATTTGTCTAACCTGCTACAAGAGAATCATTTGAGTAAGAGTATCATTGGGCCAAAATACCACTTACTGGTACAGAACTCTTTTCTGATGTACATCATTTACCTTATGTGTTCAAATTGCACACAGGATTATATGTACAGGTACTGAAGTCAGTAGTAGTGTCATCTTAAATATTTCTGCATATTCCTGCTGTACTCCACATCTATGATTTTTTTTTGGTAGGACAAGCCTGTGAAAGTACAGTAGGCTGCACCTCCTGTTGACTATAAAGGGAATAACTTCCTACATTCCTGACTTGCATGAGAAAGCATTGGTTTTCTTGATTCATCTGCATGGATTATGGAGAAGTAAATTTACAGCATATGTAAATAACCACTAAGACATGTAAAGTTTAGCCTTAAGAAGAGTTAAATTTTATATAAGAATCCCCAAGAGAAAGTGAGTTTTACTTAATAGACAAAATTCACAGATTTTTAAATATTTCCAGCTGAAAACTTTCTGTAATTCTCCCTTTTTGTAATAGAGAACCTGGTATTAGAAATTATAATTTTCTTTTGGATTAAATTACTGGGAAGTGAAATTCATTTATTTTTTAGATATTGTCAACAGATATGATGTTGCCAAGGATAGAAATATTGCAGTCCTATTTAAAAATTTATGTACATTAGGATATGACTTATGACTTTATTTTTTTTGTAGTTATTTGAGCTGCTTGGCCCTGAAGGTTTTGAACTCATAGAGAAACTTCTACAGAACAGATCTCTGATACTGGAAAGATCTTTGACTTGTCCAAATGATAACAGGTTCCAGGCTCTCCAAGGTAAGTGACTACAAAATTTTTGTTCCAAACCAGATAAAAAGTAGATTTCTAACTGTTCTGTTTTATTTCCAACAGTAGTACTGTCCATGAGTAATTTAAAAAGAAACAAAAAATCCCAGGAGACAATGAAGGAATGTATTTCTGGGCTTAAGCAAAGAAAGTCTGATTATACAGAAGAAACAAATATAGATTGCATATATTTGTTTACTTTTCTGCACTGCCTGTGGGCATGTGCAAATTTTGAATGTATTAACAGTTGCACTTTTCCTGTTTTAATGGATTACTCTGGAAATAATCTGATCTTCTATTATTCCTCATTTGCTTTCCCGCTTCCTCTCTACTTTGTACTATCATCTAATGTAGGCCTTGGGGAAGAAAAGCACAGTTACAACTTCTGAAAATAATAGAGTCAAACTTAAGCATGGATAAGCGAGAGGGTGAAAAAAAGGAATTCAGGTTTTGTTTATAGGTTAATATATCTGCACCAAGTAATTATTTTAAAATAAGTTTTACAGATCATTGGTTTAAAACAAGTCTTATAAGTTTCTTTGACAAAAATAAATCTGATAGCATATGGGTTGTGACTTGGGATAAATCTTACATGGACATAGCACCGTGCAGCCCACTGTGTGTTGGCAGCATATGGAGTTGGAAAAATGTGAATAGAGCCAGTAATGGTGGACTTGTGTATCTCCACAATAACTTTAAAATGCAACTGACCCCTTTTTAATGTTTGTCTTCAATGAAACATTACATAAGCAAGCGTTCAGAAGTTCATCTCTTGCTGTGCTAATGGTTAGTCTAAACTCATCAGAACAACTGTTAGTTTTACCTTTCATTATTTCAAAGATGAATGTCTTGCTGTATGACAAGGTTTTCTATCCTGATAGCTTTCCTTTCTTAGGTCATCAAATAAAAAATTAATATACATTCAGTATAAATTGAATTAATACATTTTTCTCCTGTGTACAGAGTTTAGTTACAGGAGTATTTTCTTCTCACTTAGCAGAATTAGTATTTTGGAAGCTTTTATGAAATTACTCTTCATTATGCCATCAGTAAAATCAATCACAGTAATTTCAGCTAGAATGTGGAGGAAGAATATTTTCAATGTTATGTTTTTCAGACAATAGAAAAGCATTAACTGATTTAATGCTTTTTTTCACTGATGAGAGAATCCTTTCTTTAACTGTGTTAAAAAAGTCAGTGATATTAAGGGTATTTGCTCTGAGACTGAAGATGCTCTTGGCCCTGAGTTCAGTATTTTAATTTTAATAAGGTTTTATTCTTTTTAAGTTGATCAAAATGTTATTTCTAATGGAGAAGTCTTATCTTTCCAAAATTTCACTTGGGGAAGAGACTAATTTCTGTCTGCAGAAATTTAATAAATTCTGAGTAATTTGTGCCTTTAAAAAATTAGCACAAGTCAAGAAACTGTACCTGTACTGCTTTTTTGTACCATGCTGTATTATTTGACTAATTCTTATGTAATTTAATTTCATGACAGTAAAGGTGATTGTGGTGTTTATGAGACAAATGAAGTAACATTTCTGTGCCCTGGTGTGTTCAGTCTGAATTAAATTTGGTCAGAAAATTGTGTCCATTGTTGTCCCCTTTTAATACAAGAGAGAGGGAGAGAGAGAGAGAGTTAAAAGCTGCAGACATGATGGTATTAATGTGGACATTCTGACAGTTTATTATAATTTTTTTAATGCTCTTCAACGAGTTATTGTTGCCTTATCCAGTATGCATGCTGTGAGATGTAGGAGTTTCACTGTTGCTGTAGGTGAAAACTAAGCAGCACAAATTGTTCAAAATGTCAGTCAAGTGGGTTTATTTGATGAAAAAAGGTTTTCAAGTTTTTCGCTTCAGAGTTTGGCTGCAGAAGTTCATATGATACCTAACCGAGTTAAGTATTTAATATACAGTCAAACCTATATGAACTAATAATCTGTTTTGCAGAACTTCGAAAAATGACATTTAAAACTACCAATATTGTTAAAATGAAAACAAAATAAATCTCTCCCAGCCTGTCATGTATAAAAGACTTGGTTGTGTCTTCAGTTTTAGCCAGTACTGATCTCAAAAACATGAATGTAACAGCTTTTTTGGGTCCCCTGCTCCCCTGGATTTATTGTTTACTGTAATTGTTCTGTGGTTCTGATTTCTTCTTGATAATCCTGCTGCTTATTGATGTAAAAGAAAGGAGTCCTTGTGATTGTATAGAGTAGGATAGATTTCCTCACTTGTTCAGGGAAATTGCATTGAGAGTATGCTTTCAATACAGTCATGTTATCTAGTTTATATACACTAATTGTTATGTCAAGAGGCTGTTTAAAAAAAACCACCCTGTTTAATCTGTTGTCACCCATCCTGCTTATCAGTGCATGTATGTAAGAGCAGTGATAAGAGGCAAAGTGGCACTTCCACTGTAGATGAAGTTGTTACAAATACAGAAAACAAAAAATGTCCTTCCTTTTGCTGCTAGTCCATCCCCTTGCTTTGGGATTAAGTGTATTTTAGATGTCCTGCTTTTGGGACATGACCTGGTGCTACTTCTAGATGTCTTGAGCCCAACTGCTGCATAGTCTACGTAAAGTTCAACTATTTTTAAACACACAATACACTCATACATGCACACACAAACCCCCCAAACAAGCATGAAACCCCCAAACCTTTAGAATGAAACTGGGGGGGGGGGGGGGAAATGGAATCCAGTACTTATGGAGATGCATGTCTGTTATCATATTGCAGAACAGTGCAAGAAGTTTATAGGAGAAAACGCTAAACCAAATTATGGTTGTCAAGTGACAATTCAGTCTGAACAAGAAAAGTTGTTAATGAAGCAATATCGTCGGGAAGAAAAACGAAATGCCAGAAAAGAAAAACAAGCTGTGGAAGATGGAGAAGGTTCTGGAGAAGGACAAATGTGCTTTGATCCCAAAGAGCTGCGGATGCAAAGGTAATAAATCCCAAAAGTTGAGAAATGCCTCTATTGTAATTGCTACTTCAACATATCATAAGAGTTTATTTTCTTTTAGCTTGCTTTGGTGATTAGGTGATTCTGACTTCAAGTCACGTTTTATTACAAGCGTAGAATTTTTTTTTATATGAAAACTTAATTTTCAGGAAAGAAAGCAGTGATTTGCTTAATGAGAATCTTCTTGAGCTCATCTCTGTGGGCTGGAATTGCAGATTAGTGGGGTAGGCTATCTTTCTTAGTTCCTGTATGCACACTGCTTGCTTAGGATTTATGAAGTCTGTACTAAATCTATCAGAACTATCTTTCTTTTTCTCTCTCAAGATTAATGGGTACTATTTTCCAAGTTGACAGCTAGAAGGTAGTGGGAGGAGTAGAGGAGGGAGAGAATAAGGAGCAAATAAGCTGTTGTATTTTGTATTGAGAAAAATATAGTGAGAATGGTATCTAACTGTGAAATCATGTTGCTGTGTTGCTTAAAAAGAGTCAAAACTGCTTTTAGGAAAGTCTTGCACTTGTTGAATTGCATTTCTGAATTTTATCTAAACCGTATGTTTTAAGGTGTTGGCCTAACTAGTGCCAGAGAATAATACTGTAATTTATTTTTTTAAATTTCATTTCCTCAAATCTTGCTCTGACTTTAATGTACCATGCTCAGTTTTTGTGATGGCAGCCTGAAATGGGCAGAATTACTGCAGGTATTTTTCTGCCCACAGAGAACTAGCGCTTCTGAATGCTCGGAGTATGCCAGTCCTAGGTAGACAGAGAGAGCTGAGCGTCGAAAAAATTCATTATCCACATGTCTATGACTCCCGAGCTGAAGCTATGAAAACATCAGCGTTCATTGGGGGTGCAAAGGTATGTTGGTGCATGACCCTTCTTGAACAGTGCATCTTTCCCCATGAGTAATGTGCAGCAGGGTTCCCTTTGTTTCCTTCCTCCTCCTTCTCGGAATCCAACGTATGAAGCAGTGCTTCTTTGCAGAGGGTTTTAAAGGCTTTGATAAATTCTATTTTTACTTTGATTCTGAAAGAAATAATATCATTTTCAACTGATGTATTTGCTTTTATTTCTAGGGTCATTTAAATTCTTAAGATATTATTTTTCTTTCTTTTGGATACCTTTGCATTGACTTTAACAAAATAAATGCTTTATGAAATTCTAGACCTAATGGATTCTGAAATTTAATAAAACAGAATTATCTTTTTGGGGGTTTTGGGACTATTTTCTGAGTAGTAAAACTGATTCTTTTCCATTTGAGGGGTTCAATTCTGTCTATAAAAAGGGTAAGTGAGATTTGCTTTTGGTTTGGATCCATTTTTTGGAGGAAAGTGATAAAGCATTGTTCAAAGTGTGTTATGCATAATGACACTTTCTGTTTTCATACTTTTAATTAATTTTCCTGTAATACACTTTCAGGTGTTCTTACCAGAGTCAGTGCAGCGAGAAAATAATAAAATGTATGAAGAGGTGAAGATCCCCCATAGTGAACCAATGCCTATTGGTATTGAGGAGAAAATTGTTTATATTAAAGACTTAGATGAGGTGAGTATACCATTTCAAAGATATTAAATTAGTTTTTACTTTGTATTACCAAAATTTAACAGGAAATATTGCCAGTTTTTCCAGTGATATGTGATAGGTAAATGCAGGCAGTTAATTTCTTCACTATTAATTTGAAGAATATTTATTGGGGAACGTAGTTCAGTGATACAATCCCTTTCATGTTGACTCAGATTCAAGGAATTGTTCATGAGTTGCAGTTCTCCATTCCTTAGGCATTACATTTTCAGTTATTTATGGTTTTGAGCTGTGATCTGAATCAGTGAAATGAAAGCATTACAGTGATTCTGTTCTCTTCTGAAGATCACAGGAGAAAGTGAGCCTGAGCTTCTGTACCTTGACCTGTACAGGTTGGCTTCTGACTGCACAGCACTATTCTGCACCAGTGTTACTGTGTGATGCAGTTCAGGGGTGTTGGATATGGTGTTATGGACTGTGTGGGGTGCAGTGTCATCTCAAAAAGTGCTTTGCTGATAGAAAGTAAAGAGCAGAGAGGAAAAAAGCGGATAAAACAAATGTTAACATTTCAACTTCTAGTGATTTAAAATGGTGAAAAAGCTGAGATAAGGGAACTAAATTTCTTGTTTGTTATTTACAGTCTAGAACTTGCAGTACTCCATCACAGGTACCTTTTTACTCCTTGTTGTATATGTCAAATCTATTGAAAAGGGGAAGATTTGGTATTGATTTGAACAGAAACATAAAAAGCAAGCTCTGTGTACAGAGAGGGTTTTATGTCTCTTAGTTCTGCAGCATATAACATGGATACGTTTTTTCCACCTTTTTCTCTCTGGGAAAGCAGGAAATGAGAATATATGCAAGGCACTTTATTGTGATTATGAATAAAGATTTAACTCTTTCAAAACAGAAGACAGTTTTAGAATCTGAATCTATTCTTTTCTGCTTAGGTGACAGTGTTGTGTTTATGAATTGACTGACAGCCCTTAACCAGATTGAAAAATACAGAAACTACAGCTATTGTCATTTTATATGACAGTATTCAGCATGACAGCTTTCGGCAATAAAATGTCTTTTTCCTAAGTTAAATACTACCTACTAATCTGTAAACTTTTTGGAAGAAATACCAATATTTCAAAAGGCAGTAAGTGGTTTCAGAAAAAATATGGTTCAGACAGAAAAATACCTATCTAAAATGAATAGTTTGCTGATTTTTGCACATGCAATTTTTAAAATAAATGTTAAAAAATTCATCAGTTATACACATTTAATCAGTAATTGTCTTTTGTAGATTGTGTATCATCAAGAGGTCTGCTTTTCAGTTTTACAGTGAAATTTTGAAACAGAAACCATCTTCTTCAGACCTTTATTCTTTGATATGATTCTTATTACATGAGATCAAATAGAAATGTCAACAACAAAACCAGTTTTGATTGTTTGAACACACATGTATGTAATTCTTGCTCCTAACTTTAGTATTGATTTGTGACAACAGATGTCAATTTTATGAAGTTTCTCCAGCTGTAGGACTTCTCAACTTCTTGATTTCACCAATGAGACTCATAGATTTGAAATTTGTTAAATAGAAATTTTTTATCAAGGAGCTAAATGAGTCTGGAACTCCCAATGAGTAAGTTAAGACATCCTTTGTCAAGATGTATCTTTTTTAGGGCAAAATTATTTTATTTTTGTTTTCTCTGCATGACTGTTTTAAAACTCTAAGCTCAGAAACACCTTGGTTGGTGTTTCAAATTTTTGCCGATTAACTGGAGTCAGTTAAGACAGCATGAAGATTTTCTGTCAATATGTTTTATTTTGGATTAAGCAGTGTAAGCAAAAGCAGAAAAATAATGATTTTCAAGTATTTCCTAGCATGTATAGGTGCTCATAAAATAGCTGTATTGTATCTCTGTATGGATATTTTTGCAGGATTATCTAAAATTTGAATAGGTGGTCAAGGAGTAGAGATGACAGTAAATATAACTAAATAATTCATAACTAGGAACTTCTAAAGGCATCCTGACAGTTCTGCTGCTGTTGACTACTATGAGGTGCCATTAGTGGTAGAGTTTTGATGTAAGACATTTAGTCTAGACATAAAAGTACTCAGCCTGTTTGACAAGTCAATATACATGCCACCCATAACCCCAGGGGTGAAAAGGCACAGAACAACCAAGCCATGTATTGTTGCTGGGGTTTTGAGTATTGTATATTGAGCTTTATAAGCACTTGCTATTCTCTGAGGAAATCTTGATGGTATTAAAAATTATAAATATTCTCCTTCCCTTTCTTTTTAGTCTGTGTGTTTTCATTTGCACAAAAATAAGTTTAAGATCTCTCTATCTATTTCTCATGAGGTATGTGATTTTGATCACATTGTCAGCAGTAGAGTATTTGTGTAACATGTATTGCAGCATACACTATTGCATTTCAGCTTTGAAACTCCTAAGGTCAGAACTGAGTCCATAAGGAATTCATTCGTATTTTGGACTGTTGATCAGAAGTTAAAGCTCTGCATCATATCAGCTGGAAGTAATCTTGTGTTTAAAATTATTTAAAGTATTAGTTAAGGTTTAGATTTTCTTATTTCCTGTAAACCCAGGTTGAGAAGAGATGAGAGAAATGTATTCCTCTAGACACTAACAAAACACATTTTAAGCATATATATGCTTCCTTTTTTAATAGTTGCTTATGTGAAAGCATAAGGCAAAATGGCAAAACCTCTACGAACCAGCACCAAAGGCAGCAGCAATGCCTTAAACCAGGACATATATTAACACAGGGTTCTTTTTTGTAAGGATTGGCAGCGTAGCCAGGGTGCATCTGCCACTGCACTCCACAGTGAAGAAATAACACATTTAAGTTAGTTTTAGTACTATGTTATCTGAAATCTTATGGCTGGTGTTTTCAAGGTAAGTATTTAGTTTAGTGAGGGCCTCTTTGCAAAGGGTCACAGTTTTCCTAAAAAGTTTATGACTTCATGATTAGTGAAATAACTGCCTGAAAGAACATAGGTGCTAAGATGGAACTCAGATGAACTGATAAAGGTCCAGATTTTTACAGCTTCCATTCCTACTTAATCCCATTATGCACTGCAAATATGAGACCAGGAGTGACTGACCCTGCACAATTTGGCAGCCATAAAAACATTCCATAGGCTGTCATAAACAGCTGGCTTCAACACTCTCCCGCTTTCTGTGGTGTTCCTTTTTCAGCTTTGCCTCCTACCTTTCTTTCTCCATTGTGATCTGAACTGCTGTGTCACTTCCCCCAGCAATCTCACTCCACCTGTGCCATCTCATTTTGTTTCCTGCCTGTGCTGGGTTGGGAGCAGGAGCTGGTGGCACGGAGGGAGCTGAGCTGCTGCTCGGGAATGTCACTGGTGCTCAGAGGTGGAAGGGTGCCTGTGTCCTGTGAAAGGAGTTGCAAAGGGCTCTTACAGAAAGCCCACAAATCCCACCCCCAGCCCACTTTGTGGATATCTGTTTGTCTTCACATTTATTATTTCTCAGAGAACTGTGATTTTACCACTGTTCAAGCACAGGTGGTTCATAAGTAGCTGCTTGGTCACTCCAGTTTAATCTAAAGTATTATGGTTCTACTATTGTACAAGTGATGTGCCAGCTACGTTGTTTCAATAATGAGAATTTTAAAAATTGGGAAAGCACAAGCTTAGCTTTATTATCTTTGCTCAGTTGACATGCAGCTTGACCATTAGTGAAATATACTTTTTGTATTTATTATAAAGGTGGTTTTGTGCCAGGCTTTTTGCCAAATAAATGTACCTTTAAAGTCATGAAGTCAGGCCAGGGAAAGTTACTCTTCAAGATTGTGAAAAGAAGTTTTATCTAAAAAATTGCTGATCGAGAAAAGTTACTTCAGCTTTTTACCTAAAGTGGGTGTTCAAGGTAGGATTTATTTCTTTTCTTCATGTTATTTCCATTTCCTTTTACTAGCACTGCTTAATGATCTAAAGAAAGGTATTTTTTTTCTCTCTGCATTATGTGAAGGAATTATTACAAAATCAATATGCTCTCTTTTCCTGTAATGTTTTCTTGTTTTTAGAATTGTACAAGGTAAGTCTACTGAATTAAAGTATGCGTGTTTTTGGATAAATTACATTTTTCACATCCAGAATATTGGATCATTAATTCCAAAGTTGATCTTAGTGCATATTTCAGTTGCTTATTTTCCAAACAGCAATTGATGGTTGAACCATACGGAATAATTTAAAAAAATGTTTTGCACTTATTGAAATCTTGTCATTTATCCAATGAATTATAATCAGAAATTGCTCTGAGGAGAGTTTAAAAGTTCTGTAATCATTAGCCCCAGCTTAAGACAAGGAAAAGCATGTATGTCAAGGTACAATGGCTTTAATGGCTGGTAGTGCATATTAGAGATTGCACTTGGTCTTCATATTTCAGGGAGGGGGTGTTCAAAGAGGGTTGAATATGTGCAATACAAAGTGAACAAAAATATTAGAGTTAAGATTCAACACTGATGATGATCTTAAAGCCTACAAATTCTGGCTTAATTTTCTCCAATATACGTGTTAATGGTATTTTCTCATTTTTTTTAGAATTTCAGATACTATATGTAAAATTTCTGCCTCAAATTGTTTGATTATTTCGCTTACTCTTAAATGAAGCTTTTAGGCATTGTCTCATTAAAAATCTAATAATAAATATTATTGCTTTGGCTTAAAGCAAGCAAAAACTGTGCTTCATGCTGAGCCAGCAGTTTATTGTCCATCTTGTACAAAATTATTATATTTTCCATTAAGAAAATTCTGTTTCTTAGTAGAAACAGTTTATTATCTCTTCATCAAAAAGATCTGTTGCTATGATGTGCAAGCTGTAAAGTGATATTCTGATTTTAAAATTTACCTGTAATCTCATGTTGCAGAAATGCAAACATGCTGTGACTTGCTACTGATTCACCTTTGAAAGACAGTTGCTGTGCTTGAATATAATTCATTGAATGTAATATTTTTAAACATGTGCCTTACTTGACTGCAGCTT